CCACCCAACTAGTCGGACAGAAAAGGCAATAATAAAGTTAGCAAATGCAAGTTGAAGAAATATTTATTTGGGAATAAAACGAAAGAAAGCATCACGCTTGATTACGCCAATATCGCCACTCGAGGACTATTACTAATAGTCCTTTAGTAGCGCAGCCAATTAAAATGCAGGATTTGCATTAGTCCACTAGTGGTGATACTAATCAGAATTATTGCCTCCAAATTTCGAAAGCATGAATTTTTTTTGTATAAATTAAGAAAAATAAATCTGATTTATTTGAAACTTCTTGACAGAACTCATATTTTGTCATCGCCATTGATAAATGTCTCCTTCATAAGTTCAGGTTCCTCTAATTTAACAAATACAATGTCATCATCAGTTCCATAACTGTGTCTAGCTGTTTCAAACATGTCAAACTTTGCACAGCAAAGATCTTCATTGAATGATGGATTCTTGTAATAAACACATCGTTTTTCAGCATCAAATCCACACAGTACTATATAATGGCCACAGTAGTCACTCTGACTTGACGGACATATACAGTTGGTGAGCATTCTTAGTTTATTTGGAGAAAAGACTTCACACCAGTTGCAGATCAGAGCATTTGAGTTGACCAGTACTATGGCAACATAGCCCTTTAATAATCTTGAAATGATTTCCTCTAATGAGACACTCCTGAAAGAAATGAAAGCTATAGATAAGCTGACATGACCTTTTATGGGTGGGCCATTAGATTACTGGTGGGAGACAAATTCCAAAAAAATCCAAGCATGTGCTCAAGATTCTAAACATAATATAGAGATAACAATGGTTGTGTAAGAAACTCCCTGCCTACTGAATTTTGTTGTATATAAGTTAAGTATTTTAGTTAGACAAAGTTAAATAAACCGTTTATCGAGCTGGCATGAAAAGTAATTTCCTGCAGGGGTAGAAACCATCTAATGGTCCCCCTTGTCTCTCATACAGCATGAATTCCCACTAATTTTTTCGGCTCAATGCCCTAAAAATTGAACAAAAGTTCCCGCTGTGGACCTTTTGAGGCTCAACACCCTAAGTGTTGCCAACGCTTTTTAACCCCTAAAAGATACGATGAGCATTCACCGTCCTTTTTTATAAAGGAGTCTCCCCCGGGGGGTCAATGACATAGTACAAAATCCGGATTTTGTAATCAGGCTGTTCCTTTCCTTTTAGACGTAAGATCCAATAATCAAAATAAAAACTCTACCTTAATCCAACGCGATTGCGATCACACACGCCTTGGATGTTATGAAAACTTCAGTATCTATTGCTGTTATTTTCATTCTTATTTCTAAAGATAAACTATCCACTTCATTTATGTGTGCTTTGTTTACATTCAATAAACATAAGCCACAACACATTTTTCGGCCTGAATTCTGACACGTATTTTTGTTTTCCCTCCGTTTGAAACATTTTAAACAAGTAAATGCCCGCTTATAGAAAAAAAAACTGAATATTCTCGACTGAAATTTTGGAACCTCTTCGGAGGTTCGCTCGTTAATTAAACGAAATGTACACGTCTGGCGCAACACGTCAAAAGACGTCAGACCGGTCAAGAAAAAATTACACATCGCAAACAGCTTTGTCACGAAAATAATTCACGACTGACCTCTTCTTGCTTACAAATTCTGACTCAGCAAAAATGTAGTTATTCATTCATTGCCGGAAGAGAACTTACCGTTTTTCGACCTTCAGTCCCAAAGTCGGAGCGAGAGTAAACAAGCGATTCACTCTGGTTTCATCGAAATTGAACGTCCCTTCGTAAAATGAGTTCTGTCCGTAGCTCGGGTCTACACCCAGAGTTTTTGTACAGAAAATGTAGTCCGCTTTATAATCAGTGAATATGCTGGCAATGTCGATGGTCCAGACACTGGTTCCAAAATTCTTCCCGGCGCAGATCTCTTCGTATTCCGCGTTGTCGAACTTGTTTCCTAGGAGTTTCTGGAGCACCATCAGGGAACATGCCAATCCGCAGTCCCATTCAGTTTTCTGTCTTACATGAGGCAATTCGATCTGAAGAGGAAACATTTGAAGAAAATATATGTTTCTAGCATGTATCCCGTTGACTTGCCCCTTTGTATTGTACACTGGCTTGCGTATAAGGAACGTGTAGTAGACGAAGTTCTAAAGAAACACAATTTATCCGGAAGAGCGGGAAGCGAGCGAGTTCGTCCGGTTTGAACTTGTTGTTTACAAACAAAAATGACCTAACCCCTACCCCCAGCGTACAGGAGCCGTCACGCAATATTCGGAGTATCTTCAAATGGAGTAAAAAAATCTAAAACATTTTTTTATACAAGTAAAAAGAAGAAAAGTAAAGGGGCGATAATAAATGGAATAAGTGGAACACAAGAGTATATCGGGGTTAACTTAAGACTGGAATAAAATTTAATATATAAGCTTATACATTTAAAATACAAAAATATCCTCTCTATGTTAATTACTTCTTTCCCAATGTTCACCAACTTCAATAGATTTCCAGAATTGATAAATAAACTTACAAGTAGTTTCAGGTACAATTTTTATACCTTGAGCTTTTTGCCCTTCATCTTTCGTTTTCTGGCTAATGTGATCTTGCACCCTGGCATTTTTTGTTCCAGTCCTTCCCTGCTTCACTTTTCTGTCTTTAAATGTTAACATCATTCTTCAAATGAGACGTATTCGCGTATTCTATCACTATTTAAGAAGTGTGAGCGTACCATTTCACTCATTTCGAGTGTTTAGAAACTTTCCTCCTCAGAAGGAAAGGACAAGGCTCGGCCACTGAGCCCTAGAAAATTACTCTTCTTCCCAATCTTCCTCGGATAGTAGCGTTTGGAAACGTCTCTTTTAGGAAACGAGGTTGTGGATGTTTGTTGGAGAGCCTTCTAAAATCCGATCCATCTACACTTTTCGAGACCTTTATCTTGACAGCAAGATTGTTTGAAGGAATTGCGGATATTCATATTAGTCAAAAATGTCGATAGGTGTGCCTATAAAGATTCTACACGAAGCAGAAGGACATATTGTCACGCTGGAAACTATGACTGGCGAAGTATACAGAGGAAAGCTCGTTGAAGCCGAGGATAACATGAATTGCCAAATGTCAAACATCACGGTGACCGCGAGGGATGGCAGAGTTTCACAACTGGAACAAGTTTTTATTCGTGGAAGCAAAATTCGCTTTCTGATTCTTCCAGACATGTTGAAAAATGCTCCGATGTTCAAGAAAATGACACAAAAGGGGTCTGGCAGTGGAGCGGCGGGAAGAGGCAAATCTGCAATTTTAAGAGCACAAGGTACAGTAGAACTTACTCATAGCAGTTCAGTGTTAGCCCTCTGTGTTGTCCTTTACAACAAGGGGCTATGACTGAAATATGAACTCGGACCAGACATTGTAAATGCAAGTTGATTAAGTTGAACTCACTGTCAACGTCTTGGAGATGTGTTTTCAAATGAAATCAAAATGCGAGCTTTGTGAAATCAAAAAGGTAGCTCAACAGATGAACGGGTTAAGTCAGTGACTTATGTTTATGTAAGCAACTTCAAGGCCATCTATGTTTTGCAGAAACCTAAATGAGGGTAGGTTTGTATAGGATTCAAACCCATGACCTCTGCAATGCCACTGCAGTTCTCTACCAAGTGTGCTACCAATTCAACTGAGAGCTGTTCCCTTTGTAGTATTCTTGTAGAAGATAACAAAACATGGAGTGAAGTAAATATGAATACTAGTTATGCCTTAAAGTGTTATACATATCTCTTATTAACCAAGTTTGAGGCCTGCACTGGGAGAACATTGGCCTGCCCTAAGCTCTTGACAGTATCGGCTGAGTGCTGCAAGGTCTGTACAAAAAAGACTGAGGGCTAATATTCTCCCAGTACAGTCCCAAGCAAGCTTGGCTAATAAGAGATTTATTACACGACTGAAAGTGTTTAGAAAAAAATGCCATGATCAAAGACTGGAAAAAAGTGCACAATTCTGATTGGGAGCTGACCAGCTGTATAATCACATCTGATCTTAACAAACCAGCAGGGAAAGAGAGTTGGAAGAAAAGGGAAATGAATCTTGTATATTTAAGCAAGTTCTTTCAGAGACATTAGCCATAATGCCTGGTCCAATTCTTAGAGAATATTGGACCAGCAATGGAGCAATGTGATTGTTTGAATTAAGTTATTGACCCTCTGAGCTAACTTGGTCATGTAATAACATGGAATATCCCATGATTCTCTTGTATTTTCTCGGTATTTGCACAAACCTTTGGGCAAGTGCGTATACCGAAAAAATACAAGTGACAAGTGGGGTATTCCATGGTATACCACAAGAGAGCATTGTATAACTATTTTATACCATGCCATAGAAAATACAGAGGCCAAATTATTGCAGGAATAAGATTGCAGAGCATGGTCAGAGGATTAGGTGTAATACTGTGTAGTATAAAACAGCTTTCCTGTATTCCAATTGGCTCTATATTCTATGGAATGGTATATAAATATTGTATATGCATTTGAAATTTAATACAACCTCATAAAAGACTGTTGCTTTTATTCATGTCTTTCTCTGATTTCTATAATGATAGAAATGGTTAGAATAAACTTTGATTTTACCATGTGTTCTTGTTTCTCTACAGCTGCTGCCAGAGGGAGAGGAGGTCCACCCCGTGGGGGTAGAGGAGGCAATGTCTTCCAGAGAAGAAGATAGCTTGTACTTGTGATGTTTAGTTAACAGAAATAAAGAAGCAATTTCTAGTGTACTACACATGTAAATACGACTTTTGTGAAGCAAGTGGTGTAGAAAGCTGTTCTGAAACAAAGTGCAATGAAACAACTTCAGTAATTCCTCTAAACACCTCTGACCACTTTTTGTTTTAATTTACAGTGAATATGTGTGTTAATTTGTTCTTCAACAACTCTGATGTGTATAGGGTATTAGGAATAAAAAGAGATAGCTTAGTTTTTAATTTCTTGTAATAATTCCTTACATTTTGTAGTTTCTCTCGTGTTATGTTTGTTCTACACATACTTTGTCCATCCTAAACTCTTAACTTCTTTGTGGTTTTAGTAAAGTAAATAGTCTTTTGTAATAACACTTATGAAACAGCTTACAATGTTTTCATGTCTTTTATGCAGATACTTAAGGTGGTTTTTAGCCCTTAATTTGCAGTACTGGGCAACTTTTAACTTTGTCTTTAAGTATGGTTAACCAAACATGTAAAGGCAGTGACGACATTTTGAATTTTTTTTTCTAACTCTTCAGACTTTGAAAGAAGGGTAATGACATTTTGTAACCAGTGAGAAGAGTTAAGTTATTTGAGACTGCTAGGAGAGTAAAACTTTCATTTTAATAATATCAGGATCTGATTCTCAACTTGTGATGTGATTTTCATTTTCACAATTTTTTTTAGGGCATGTACTTTCTCTGAACTCAGTATCTCATCAAAAGTGATTATCCAATGCCCACACTTTACCTTTAAATTTGTATTAGAGATTTTAAAGGGAGGAATTTGGTAACTTGTTGTTAGAATTTGTTTAAAATGGCATATGCCAGGCATGCTAGTCACTACGGGTGGTGAATGGTCCTTCAAAGCCAGGGGTATCACCAAATTTTTGTTGAATTTCATTTGTACAGCAGTCTTGGTCTCACAAGTTATGTAAAAAGTTACAAATGTTTTTGCTTCACATAAAAAAAACTCTAATCCCTTCTTGTGAAGTCTCGGATTTACCACTTCCAATCCTATTAATATCTTATTAGGCAGGCTAAATCTTGAATTTTCAATATTTGGCAAGCAAAATCTTGAATTTCCAAATCTTGAATTTTCAATATTTGGCAGACCAAATCTTGAGTTATCCGTCTTTTCAGGGTTGCTTGTTAATCCGAGGTTAGCGTTAATTGTCTTTGAGCGCTAAGCAGGATCCCCTTGTCCCTTATTGAACTTTATGTTTTCTCCCATATTTGTTTGTTTTGCTAACAAGCTAGTATGCTAGTTTTTAGAAAGGGTGGGGTGGGTGGCCAAGCCATAGCAATTTTGTCCAAGGGGGAAAGGCTCGATGAGCTTTAACCCTATGTGAAGTACCAGCCCGTGAGACAAGGCCAGACTACAACACCGGGAACTCCGTGCTCTTTGCTTTGCGATAAGGTGCGGGTTCTTTAATGTCCCTTGCTAACCATGTAACACTGAAGATGCAGAAAACGGGGCCTACGGTTTATAGTCCTTGTCCGAGAAGACTTGAACGTCTAACCATTTGCAGATGTAATTACAAAGGTAGCACATTCTCAGTTTCCGCACAGCAGTCTGGCGCTCTACCAACTGAGCTAACCAGGCCGCGGTATTTTAAGAGCATTCTTAGAGTTGTCGGTTCTTGCGAAGTGAACCAAAAAAAACAAAAAGACCCAATTATGTAAAATTCAAAATTAGAGTCTTATTCATAACGATGCAAACATGCGTGGAAATCAGGTTAAGTCTGCATACGAGCCAAGTGGCCCATCAGACCGGCTCTTATCTCGGTTTCTGTAGCATAAAGCGACTAGGAGTATTTCTACTCCCCCCCTGGATGGGATGCTGGTCCATCGCAGGGGTATCCCCAGCATAAGTTCGCCGGAACCATTTCTACACCCGAGTGGAGAGAGAGACTTTGAGAGTAAAGTTCCTTGCCCAAGAACACAACACAATGTCCCCGGCCAGGACTCGAACCCGGACTGCTAGATCCAGAGACGAGCGCACTAACCATGAGGGGGGGAATTATCGAATTTGATATTCAGGTTAATTTTTTTGCCCAAGCTGGACAAAAAGTGTCGAGCTTGATTTCGGAAGCCACCAATGTTTGTACAACGATGGCATAAAATAAAGACGCTCCGTGTCAGTGTATAAGAGCGGTCGCCATGGGTTACTAGGAAGAGAACAAGTCTGGGTACCACTAGAGCTTTTTATTTTTCTTCCTCCAAAAAGGACATCATAGCCTTTATACTGCAAAATAGTTTGAACTGCGTGAAATATATGAAACAGCTCGAAAGAGCAAGAATACTGCTTACAAGAGTAGCTTGTGTAGCTGGCAGCGCCTTAGTAAGGCGCTACGCAGCCTGTGTCCAACCCGTGCCAGAGTTCCAAGCACTCGATTTTACTGCTGACCAAATATCGAGGGTTTTGTGTACGCTGTTCAATACAAAATTAGAGTAGTTACAAAGGAATGTAGCCAGTAAACTAGTCTCTAATTCTTGACGTTTTGTCATCGAGATATCAGACGTGAACCTGTCAAAATCTCAAATTTAATAAAGAGCGTAAACTAACGCGGAAATTTTCTTTGTGGTATATGTTGTCGAGCAACCTTGTTTTGTCGAAATTTGTTTCAACGTTGAAAATTGAATTGATTACGTCAAGCAGTACAAGCAAACATTTTCAGGCGTTTGACAGTAATTAAATATGCAAAGAAATTTTCAGTAGTCGTTTACTTTTCAGCCATTAAAGCAACAGGATGTTGACCACGTATGTAATCTGTCTTTACAGCACCAACTTGTGAAAAGCTCTTCTTGCTTGTAAAACGTATGTGGAATTCACCCGTCGGGCTTGGACTGAGAACTACGGAGTCTTGATTTAAACTGTTTTCACCATCCAGGTTAGTTTTCATTTGTTTTAACAGATTCTTAAGTCTCCACAAGATAAACTCGGTGACTCATTTTCGGCTTAAACTCGTAAATTTCAGAGTTGAAATTGAATTTGTCAGTTTTTTAAAGTTGTGTTTTCAGTCATTCTGGCACTGTCTTGATAACGAAAATGCACGTTATTTTTTTGTTGCCTATCGGCTGACATTCACCAGATATAATGAATGTTTTACACTGGCTCAGTAGCGCGGAATGTTTGTTCAACAAGTTGCAAGCATATCATAATGTCGTCGTTCGTAACATAACTGCCACTTCTGTCCTGCAAGAGATTAAACTCTCATTCCCGATTTTGACCTGTGTTAAAGTTCGTCCCGTGTCCCGTTCGTTTTGGCTGATTATGGCCAAACAAATAAATAAATAGTTAACGTTTGCGATGGTGGACCCAAATATTTCAAGCGTCTCGTGTCAGACTTCGCCGGTTCTGTAGTGAAAAGGGCGTTTATCGCGTGAGTGGAATTCAGTATATTGGAGTTGCAACGATTATGAAACGTGCATAGACTCACAAACTTGAACGTATAAACATTCTCTTACTTGGGCGATTAATAATGGTAATAGGACTGAGTGGAGTCCAATTCGGTCTGTAATCATACGAGTGATTAACAAAATCGGACTGCCGCGAAGCGGGAGTCCGATTTGTTAATCACAGTTTCCCACAAAAGTAAAAGTTTCATTTGATAAAGAGCTTTTTATTGTCAATTTAAATATCATAATTATAAAATATGGAGAACAGCTCGCAAAATGGCTGTCAAGTCTCTTTCAAAACAGTNTAACTGTCCGATTACAGGTGTCCGATTACAGCCAACTGTCCGATTACACTGTTCGATTACAGCTTTGCAGATTAATTAGAGCAAAATACAGCAGTTTATGCACCAATCACATTTGAGGAAGTTGTAATTGTTATGATTAAACAGGAACAGGGACAAAGTTCATTACATCGAGTTCCTTTACTGGCTGACGTCACTTTACAGGAAGTCTTGAAACATCCGCCTCTTCCAGGCGTTCGGTTTCCAAAGGAGGACAAGCGACAAAAATTAAAGTGGTTGCACTGATTTTCTTTAGCTGTTTGTAGACTGAAAGAGACAATATTTACATTTGCCAGCTGTGAATGGCAAATATATACTTAGCCAATAAACAACTCTACAGCACAAAAAGTTTTGGTAAAATCGTTGGGAGGCACGGTAGTATGTAAAGGTTCTGAGGTTCGAGGTTTGAACCCTGAGAATCCGTTTTGTTTGTTGTTTGTTTGTTTGTTTGTTTGTTTGTTTGTTTTTCTACAGTCTCTGTGTGTTCTCTCAAAAACACAGCTCCTTTCTTTGTCTAGCTATAGATAGATGGGACACTGACCAACTAGTCGTAGCAGGATTTGCTAAGGCTAACACATACAATCTCTCCTGTATTGGAGGATGTCGATCTTGCTGTTGTTATTGTACATCAGCTACTTCTAACTTGCAAACATTTCAAGGAATCCTGATGTTGCATCAAGAGAGTTTGAAGTGTAAGGTATAGTTAATCTCCAAAATTGGCCTTATTCTCAGGGTAATTCCTAAGTTTATTTTTAGAAATGATATCTATATAGGTCTTCCCGTTGTTAATATTACCATACATGTTACGTAGATATATTTTGTAAGTATGAAATTGTGGGTAAAGCCGCTTGGGCTATCCACGTCAGAAAAATTCACCTCACAGGACTGACTATTTCGAAACTCTACTGTTGGGATTTCCGAAACCGGGAGTGATCTAGAAAATAACTTAAGAGTGCCTTAATTTAAAGACTTCACACACTTGTCACCAGCAATAGCCACTTTCAAATAGTATTGCTAGCAAAAGTGGTTATTATAGTTGCGAACACCAAAATGCAACGTGCCCGGCTAGCTCAGTCGGTAGAGCATGAGACTCTTAATCTCAGGGTCGTGGGTTCGAGCCCCACGTTGGGCGCTGGCATATTTTCGTGACTTGTTTTAAACCACTTATGGTTACTCTGTTTGTAGCAATGCCTTGAGCCTCTTTTTTAAAGTCAAATTTGGTGTGAAGGTTTTCTTGATAACACTTTGAAGGAAATGCCTCTTCTATGCGTTCGGTTTGCAAAAACCGGAGAAAAGGAAAAAAATAGAATTCTGGCTATTTTTTTAAAGCTTTTTGTAGACTGAAAGATACAATATTTGCATTTGCCAGCTGTGAATGGGATATTTTTTTTCTTTTGTTGTTGTTGTTAAAAACAATACCTATGAAGATAAGGTGATATATACTGCCTAATAATGAGGTAATACAGTCGACCCTTCGGTTGTGATCACCTCTCGTAAGCGACCACCTCTCCTCAGCGACCAGTTTTCCAAAATACCAAACGTTTCCAAGTCAAATCACCATATTTGGAACCTCTTGTAAGCGACCACCTCTCGTAAGTGACCGCGACCACTTTTAGAACTAAAAGTTTTAAATTTTCATTTGTTTTTAACCTCTTGTAAGCGACCAATTGACAAATAATAGAGCCAAAATTGGATAATGTGTTGAATCGTATTCCTGCCTAGTACAAGAAAGGGAAATTTCTCAATGGCAAGAACCGAATTTTTTCTCGAAATTGACTTTTACGACCTTTTACATGAATAAAAGTTGCATCGGCATTGGCGCATTGGGTAAGACCAAGAGAAAACAGATCGTGGTCTCTTGGTAACACTCGGCAGTTACTCGTACGAAAATCTAAAGTCCCCTATTGCATATCAACTACTTCTAACTTGCGAACATTTCAAGGAATATGTTGCATCAAGAGAGAAAGAAGTGCAAGGTAGTTAATCCACCATATTCTCAGGGTAATTCCTCAAGTTATTTTTAGAAATGATATTTATATAGGTCTCCCGTTGTTAATATTACCATGCACGTGCACGTTAAGTAGATGTATTTTGTAAGGATGAAATTGTGGGTAAAGCCCCTTGGGGTATCCCCGTCAGTAAAATTTGCGTCCAGGCCCTACTAAGATTTCCGAAACCGGGAGTGATCTAAAAAAATAACTTTAGGGGTGCGGATTACCTTAGGAATAAAGCTACATAGGGGATTAACGCTTTCACACTTCATCCTGACTTGAAGAGACTCTCAGCTATAAAAAGATTATTTCCTGCAATCATTAAAAGAAGTGCTTAACAACTTTCGTTTCGTGAAACTCAACCAGCTGACAATTCTAACTGGTTGCCAGTTCCAGGTCTCGGAAAAATAAAATATTATTAGCGCCCAACGTGGGGCTTGAACCCACGACCCTGAGATTAAGAGTCTCATGCTCTACCGACTGAGCTAGCCGGGCACAGTCAAGGTGTTTCTTTATAACCTTCTCGTTGTTATGTGATAGCGAAGAGAGCTAAACGTCGTCGTAAGAAAAGGTCTTGAAGTTGTTTTTTATATCAGAGATAAACTGAAATTAAGAAGTCAACAAAGTCGAACTTGTTTCCCTGTAAGGAATGTACCATAAAGTTCTATGGTTACTTTCGGACTTTTGTAGTCTTTTTCTGTGGTCACTTTCATAAGTCGTAACTTTCTTTGTGCTTGTATTCGGAAAGAATTTGACGTTGAAAATACTGAGGAAGTTTCTGCAGCGCCCAACGTGGGGCTCGAACCCCCGAGGTCTCATTAGGAAGAGGAAGAAGAGGGAGAAGTATAATATAGCTGGGTACTTATGCATGATGGGAAGGCGTTTCAATTTCACTCAGTCCCACATAGTTGTGCATAAGTTCAGCCTAGTTCACTCCTAAAGTACATTTGCTTGTAAGAGCGACTCTGCAAACAAGGTAGGATCTGTGAAGTCTGTACTTTGTATCTGATTTTTTTAATAGATATTTTTCAGTTTTATTCGTTCACTGGACAGTTAAGTGAGTTTGAATTGCATGAATCTCGAATTCCCAAATTCCGTTGCGAAAATGCCATCATTCCAAATAGCAATACACTAGAGATGCTTGCAGTCGTTACTGTTGACGATTTTCTGAAATTCGATATACATGCTGCTTATATCTGTAGGAAAGTGTCTAACTAGGTTGCAGTCGTGAGAAATGTACATTAATTTACATGCCATTNTGTTCAATTGTTGCTGTGTCAGCATTCGTGTTGTTATGGGCATAAAAGTGATTGACAGGTTGAGATGAAAAAAATCTTTCCCGTGATCCAACTTAGCAACTTCAATCGTCGAATAAACGCTCAGGGCGCTCATTTCGAATTTAGGATAAGGTACGGAGACGCTTATTCCAGGGGGAAGGTATTTTGGCTGAGGAAAGGACGTTTATTTGATGCAAAAGCCCTTATTCGGGGATTTTTGGAATTTTTTTTCATGTACATTTGCAACCACTTCTCTTCTCGCCATTGTCAGCTATTCTTACTTTCTGATTGGCTCCTGTCATGTTTCGTGAGTTGTTTAATAACACTTATCATCATCGAGTCTTCTTCGTAATTAATTATCATTGAGGAAGAGCTCTTTGAAATCCTGTATTGTGGCGAGTGTGTTATATTTAATGGTTGAAACCTGAAACCCCTGCTAACCTTGTATTTAATGTAATTAATCATTAGGTGTACTTCATTCATGTGCATTGGAAAAATGGACCTATCACTCCTGTTTACAGAAGCTACAGTACTCTTCTTGAACTTCAGGTACAAAAGCTTATAGCAGTTTAACAATGACGTTTTATTCAGGTACGAGATGTCCTACCATATCACGGGAATATTTTGAGAATGCAGCTATTTGAAACTTCCAGTATAAGTTTAAGTCGGCAGGGTTTTGACAGTTGTATCATTTATTCAGAGAAAGTACGATAATTCGATAGAGTCGTTAATAGAGTTTTTGCTCAAGCTTGACAAACATACCAGTCACTTGTCCTTTAATGCAAAGACAAACTAAAATTTGTCGATATATTCATCAACGCTACTTTTAATTGGGTGTACACAAGAGTTGAGTTAGATTTTAAATTTACTACCTTTAACCAGTCTACTGATGAGGCTTGTTAAGACAGACGGGCTGCGTATGCACGAGTCTCATAATCAGTCATATCGTCAGTCTCATGCTAAGTTATACACATATTGAATTTGTTTTTTTTCGCAGGAAAGACTGCTAACAATAGAGGACTTCCTACTAAGGCAGAACGATGAGGCAAACACTGGGACACTTCTCAAAAGTAATTTGAAAGTTTCTTGACATTACGAGGCTGGAATAAGATAAGACAGTGGTTAAGATATTTATTTTCAGTATAGCTTTCAACACTGATATAATTTTCCTCGACAGGAGAGTCATTTTCCAACAGATTTACAATTAAAAAGCGGGCCAAAGCGCTCAGAAGAATGCCTGTTGTGGACGAATTCCTCAAAGTAAGTCTAGTTAAGACTTAAGCACCATATGAATAACAAAAACGTTTATTCATTTCAGTGAAGAGCTTGTTAACTACAAGTTTGACCAAACATCCTTTATATATAGTACGAATAGGCTGTTAAACCACTATTATAAACTGACTTCTTACTAACTCCCCTAAGCTGCACTGGTCTATTCGATCTTAACGCAAAGAGATGCACAGGAATTATAAACTTCAAACTTGTATATGTCACAGGCATACTGACTGAATATCACTCTATTTTTTTCAGTCGATAGTTCACCGTCCACCACACATCTCCGGATCAGATCCTGTGATTAACTTTTTTCTTCCTTTACCTGAAGACCTTATCGAATCAGATTCCGATCAAGCACAGTAAGTCTGTATATCTTCCTCCTTACATGGCAACTTCCGCGAGCAGCCAGCATGAGGCAAATCCTGCGCTGTGATTGGCTACCCATGAGGCTAATCGATCACTCGTTCATTAGCGGCATGTTCATATAAAAGATACGTTTAAGAACTCCTTTGTTAGCTTGATTTCTCACTGA